GGTTTGGTGGACAGGAACGAACCCAGTAGTGCAGACAGGACTCAACTAGGCAGATTAAAAAACTAAATAATTTAATGACGAATAAAAGGTAACAAAACAATAAGCTGACGTGGCAGCAAAACTTACATCAATAGAAGGCTCAGGAGGGAAACTCAGAAGGGACTCAGGAAGCTCAGGAAAAGACTCAGGAGACGCAGGAGAACACAGGATACCCAACGAATACGACGCGACCAGGAACAAGACAGAACAGACGGCTTATATACAAGGACAAAACGAGACGTGAATACCAACAGCTGTGACGAGACAAGGGTGACACCAATTAAACTGAAGAGGAAACACTAGGGAAACACAGACACAAACAGAGCCAGTAAATGGTACCATCCTTACAACCTCATCATTGTTTCTTTGGTTTTGCATTATAATAGCTCCTGTATTGAAGTAAGAGCTGAAATGGTACCGTAAGATGGGCAACACATTCTCCAACCAACAAATAACAAGAACTTTATATAATGTTAAGCGAAGCAAAAACAGATTAATTTTGTTCTAAACACAGGTTGTACAAGTATTTAAGAATTTTTTTAATATATTTGCCTGCATTCATGCCAAATAAACAAGGCAGTTATTTTTTGTAATCTATTAGTTTAGTGTCTTGTGTTAAAAAAAAGTTTAGTGTCTTGTGTATTTACTCTCCTCCAGAAACACCTGCACTCAAATAGTTTTTTTTTTTTAATGTTTGTAAGTTCTTTGATAAGAATTACTAAAGACCTTTTCTAAAGCTCCAATATCACAGAAATGGTTTTAAGCTCTTTGGTGGGTGTTCAGTATCTTTTTGCCGTTGACAGAAAAGTGGTTGGAAAACGCACTTTCATTTATTCCTAATGTGTAAATTTAACTTAAGTGAATTCATGTTTTGATGATTTCTATTACTTATTGTCTGTTGTGAGCGTTGCAGAACTGTCTTATTAGATCAATAATACAATAATAATAAATGCCCTGTATTGGTTTAATGTTGTTGTCCCAGCCGTCATGGATTTTATCGATGGTAAGACTCAGAATAAAGGACAATATGTTAATATGTTAATATCTAAAATGTTAGCAATGCTCAGCCATAAAATCTTCAGCTAGTTTTAGAACAACGGGTTCATTTATCTCTGGCCCGGCTGCTTTATCTGTGCCTAGCCTCTTGAGAGCACTAATGTCTGAGGCAGACACACACATGAACTCAAAAGGGCGTGTGATAGGCCCTCTCATCGCTGGTTGTCAAGGGTACAGTTATACCAGCTCAGGATGGCAAGCTTTAAAGAATGAACGTGCATAAATTAAATGATCATTAAAACAGTTGGGTGCAGGTGCCCTATCAGACATCTCTCAGCTGAGAACATTTTAACACTTTTTTAATCTTCCTGATGCCATCTGGTTAACCCATAGTCACCTTTGTTTTTGTTTTTCTCTCACGTTCTGTCTCTCTTCTTTCCTCCTTCATGCTTATCAGAAGGGACTTCTATTCTTACCCCTATTACCCGTAAGTTACTCCTCTCTGTCACTTCTCTCTCCTCCTCTGCTCGCCCTTTGTACCTCCATCCTGTCCTCTCCTCGTCTCTCTCTACAAGTGGTATCTCACTGGGCTGTGACTTATTGGTAAACGATATTGATAAGGCTCACAGTCCTGTTGCTTGAGTATTAAACATTAATTTATTTTTTACATGCTATTTTGTGCAGTCTCACAGGTCTTATCTGTCTCTAGTGGCCATTGGGCGAGAGGAGGGGTACACGCTTGACAGGTCACAAGTTCTTTACAGCGACACATAAAACAAGTGAGGCAAATAACCATTGCCATTCTACCTCACACCTATGGACAGTTTAGATCAATTTAGCTAACATGCATGTTTTTTGGTCTGTGAGAGGAAACTGAAACACCATGGATGAGAACAGGAGAACATGCAAAACTCTACAAAAAGTATGACAGTCAGTCTTTAACATGCAAACATCTTGATGTAAGGCAGCAGCACTAACCACTGCACAGTGCATGAGTTTTAAAGAGTTTCAGAAAAACTGCAACGCATTTTCTTGCAAAATTATCATTGGGTTGTCACAGGCAACTCCAACTTCTCACCAACTTGATGAAGTTTCCAATTTGTCTCCTGCATGGGCACTTCCTTTCTGACAAAAACATCTGAGGCAAATGTCTCCCTTAAAAGAAACTGCTCCAGATCTGCCCATCTTCATTTCTAAAGTGTACACCAGTACATGAAGTCATGTAGTGGCTGCAGAGGTGGGTATGATGTGAGTGGAGGTGGACAATAAAGTAATATACACAGCAAAGAGCTCAGTTTTGCAAGTTTTGCACATAAAAAGCTGTGAATTAAAAAATACTGGCAATGTAAAACGTGGATTCATGGCTCATTGTTTGCTTGATTACAAGCTCTGAATATAGAGACCACAACAAGCGTAACTGCAGGATAAATGCTTATTGCAGAAGAACTTGATGAAAACAGCTGAAATTAGCTAAAAAAATATGAAATAGCTGAAATGGGAGAACAAGCCTAAATTAGCAGAAGAAAGCAGAAAGGACACACATTTGCTGAATTGGGTTTAAATAAACAGAAATTCACACCAAAAATAGGAAATTAGCTAAAAAAAACAAAAAAACAAAGAAATTGAAATTAGCACACACAAAAAAATAGCTGAAAAGTTAGAAATAATTTTAAACTACCAGAAGGAAGAGGAAAAAAACTGAAATGAGCTAAAAAAAAAAAAAAAAAATGTGGGATTAAGTTCAAATTAGCATCAAAAGAGCTAAATAGTAGCTGAAAGAGCAGAAAAAGCTGAAACTAACAGAAAAAAATTGAAAGGAGCATAATGAACTGAAATTAGCATGAAGAAGTTAATTAGGCTGAAAATAGCAGAATTTACCACAAAAAAATGAATTATCTGAAAGCAGCTAAAATTAGCTAAAAATGCTAAAAAGGTAACTGAAAAGGTAGAAAAAGCTTAAATTAGCAGAAGAAAGCAGAAAGAACATGTTTGCCCAGTTAGGCTGAAAGAAGAAGAAATGAGCACAAAAACTGGACATTTTCTGACAAAAACTAAAATTAGCAACTAAAAAAAAAAAAAAAAAGGCAGAAAGAAGCTTCAATTAACAGAAGGAAGTGGAGAGAGCACATTTTTGCTGAATTAGCCTGAAAAAAGTTGAAAGGAGTGCAAAAAAATGTGGAATGAGCTAAAACAGCTAAAATTATCATAAAAACAGCTGAAGTAGCAGAAAAAAATGACATTTTCAGAAATAAGCTGAAAGTAGCATATCAAGTTGAAATTAGCCATCCATCCATCCATTTTCTTCCGCTTATCCGGGCTCGGGTCGCGGGGGTAGCAGCCTAAGTAGGGAGGCCCAGACTTCCCTCTCCCCAGCCACTTGGGCCAGCTCTTCCGGGGGAATCCCGAGGCGTTCCCAGGCCAGCCAAGAAACATATTCCCTCCAGCGTGTCCTGGATCTTCCTCTGGGCCTCCTTCCGGTGGGACGTGTCCAGAACACCTCACCAGGGAGGCGTCCAGGAGGCATCCTAAACAGATGCCCAAGCCACCTCAACTGGCTCCTCTCGACGTGGAGAAGCAGCGGCTCTACTCTGAGTCCCTCCCGGATGATCGAGCTTCTCACCCTGTCTCTAAGGGAGAGCCCAGTCACCCTGCAGAGAAAACTCATTTCGTCCGCTTGTATCCGAGATCTCATTCTTTTGGTCACAACCCAAAGCTCATGACCATAGATGAGGGTGGGAACGTAGATCGATCGGTAAATTGAGAGCTTCGCCTTTTGACTCAGCTCTCTCTTCACCACGACAGACCTGTACAACACCTGCTTCACTGCAGCCGCTGCACCTATCTGCCTATCGAGCTCACGCTCCATTTTTCCCTCATTTGTGAACAAGACCCCAAGATACTTGAACTCCTCCACTTGGGGTAGGACCTCCTCCCTGACCCGGAGAGGGCACTCTACCCTTTTCCGGCTCAAGACCATGGCCTCAGATTTGGAGGAACTGATCTTCATCCCGGCTGTGTCGCATTCGGCTGCGAACCGCTCCAGCGAAAGCTGTAGATCACGATCTGATGAAGCCAATAAGACCACATCATCTGCAAAAAGCAGAGATGCAATCCTAAGGTCACCAAAACAGATCCCCTCAACACCTTGCCTGCTCCTAGAAATTCTGTCCATAAAAGTTATGAACAGAATCGGTGACAAAGGGCAACCTTGGCGGTGTCCAACTCTCACCGGGAACAAGCCCGACTTACTGCTGGCAATGCGGACCAGGCTCTGACACTGGTCATACAGGGACCTAACAGCCCGTATTAAAGGGCCCGGTACCCCATACTCCCAGAGTACCCCCCACAGGGTCCCCCGAGGGACGCGGTCGAACGCCTTCTCCAAGTCCACAAAGCACATGTAAACCGGTTGGACAAACTCCCACGCACCCTCCAGGACCCTGCTGAGAGTGTAGAGCTGGTCCAGTGTTCCACGGCCAAGACGAAAACCGCACTGCTCCTCCTGAATCCGAGGTTCAACTATCCGACGGACCCTCCTCTCCAGAACCCCCGAATAGACCTTACCAGGGAGGCTTAAGAGCGTGAGTTGAAGTTGAAGTTGAAATTAGCAGAAATAAATTTGAAGAAGCACAAAAATGTTGTAGTTAGCAGAAAGAATCTGAACGGAGCACAAAACAGCTGAAATAAGCTGAAAGTAGCTGAAAAGAATGATTAAATTTGTACAAGGAAATGGAAAGAAGGTGAAGCAAAATGTGAAAGGAGCAGTAAAAGTTTATACAGATCTAAAGATCTGAAGGATGGAAAATGAGATCAATTATTTTTCCATGAGACAAAAGGGGCAAAAAAGGCAAAAAATTTAAAAAAGCTAAAGTTGCACCAATAGCAAAAGCATAGCACCCTTATCCTGAAGGAGCTGAACGTTTTGATATATAAATTGTTGAAATAGCACAAAAACTGTGGAACGAGAGAGATGCTGAAAAATGTACAGAAGACAGATGGATCACAATAGTGTGAATGCTTCATAAACATTCACACTATTATCAAATGTCAGTTTTGATTTGCCACCTACACATCATAGTCTCCAACACTCGCAGCCCAGTGACATACCTACTTAATCCCAACTCTATCAACAGTCTCTTGCTATCACCAGATTTCACTTTTCCTCTGCGAGCAGATTCAATATTTTCTCTCCTTAGACTCCTCAACACTTTCTCATCTCAACTCCCTCTCTTCATTTTCTTCTTATCTCTTTTACCTGTTGTGAGCTCACTCTTTCCCTTCTCTGCTGGCCTTTGTTGCTGCTCCCCGTCCTCCCACCTCTTTGCTGTCATCTCTACAGCAGGAAGAAGGTGGTCATCAACAAGGCAGCCATGGCCTACCGACAGGAGAAGAGTCAAAAGCTGAGCTCTTTGGACTGCAGCATGACAGAGCAGAGCACGCTCCAGCAGGATGAAAGGATGGCCAACCCCTTCATGGACACCCACGGCTGCAACTCTCGAAGTAAGACAATAAAAACACATGGGTTCTCTTGAGATAACGTGTGGCGAGAAAGCTACTACCTCCTTCCTGACCTTCAGTTGTATTTACTTCCAAGCATGCATGCAATCTGTTCTGCCAGGTGCGCTCGGCACAGAAATCTCCTTTCTGTTTGAATATTTTATGGCACCAGTCAGCCGTCACATCCGTGCACAAATGCTAACTTTCTTCTTTCTACGCTGTCCCTTTGACTTATGTGCATGAAAACAACAGAACAAAGTCAATGTCCCAGTCTTCACTGTGTCAGCAGACTGTCTTTATCTATTTGTGTCTGTGTCCCCAGATGAGCAGCGCAGCTCTGTTAACGAGTCCAGCAGCTTACTGGGAGGCTCACCCCAACGTCACTGTCAGAGGAAAAACTCACCTTATCACACAGGTCAGCTCCACCCTGCTGTAAGGGTGGCTGACCTCCTACAGCACATCAACCAGATGAAGACGTCCGAGGGCTACGGCTTCAAGCAGGAGTATGAAGTAAGAAAAGAAGACAAAGAGCTACAATGAACAGTTACGGTTAAAAGATGGACTGCTTTCTACTGTTAAAGGTTTTTTAGAGGAAATGAAACCTCAGAGTATAATCCATCCATCCATTATCTTTACCTGCTTCTTCCTTTTTGTGTTGTGGGGGTCACTGGTGCCCCTGTCCAGCTATCACTGTGTGAGAGGCAGGGGACACCCTGGACAGGTCTCCAGTCCATCACAGGGACACATAGAGACAAATGAGACAACCAACTATTCACTCTCTCACTCACACCTAAAGACGATTTAGAGTTACCAGTCAGACTAACATGCATGTTTTTGGTCTGTGGGAGGAAACTGGAGTACCCAGAGAAAACCCACGCAGCACAGAGAGAACATACAAACTCCACCCAGAAAGGTCCCCAGCTGGGATTTGAACCGGTGACCTTTTAGCTGAGAGGCAGCAACAATTTTACTAACTGTGCCACCATGGTGCCATTTTGACATCCTATTCAATGCTAATGTTGAAGAACTCTATGGAATTGGCATCTGGTTACATCACTTTAAATCCAATTCCAGTAAATTTCGTAACTCGCTGATGAGTAGAGCCTCCCAACTTTTTATCCATCAAGTACCACATCTGACTTGTGCTGTCATTTTTTTTTTTACAATCTGAACATGAACCCACACTAAACAGAAAAACCAACAGGGTCAACCCACATGAACACTTGACCTGAAAATGTCCAATCTGTCCCAAGATAGAAGAAGGCCCTACAGATCATACCGCATCTTGTGTTCAAGTAAATGGACTGTACTTATATAGCACCTTTCTATCTTATCAAGATACTCAAAGCTCTTTACTACAATCTGTGTCCTCATTTACCCGTTCATACAGCACTCTACTAGATCTACAAAGATAATTGAACAAATCATTCTAAAGAGACTAATCAGTGCTTTAGATCACATTCATACACTGATGGGACACACATCAGAGGCAATGAGGGGTTCCGTGTCTTGCCCAGGGACACTTCGGCATGTGACTGCTGGTGGATTCGAACCCCCAACTTCTTGCACTGGAGGACGACTGCTCTAACCACTCAGCCACAGCTGCCCATTGTACAACATACAGATCAATAATTCACACCAAAATGTGATAGTAACCCACAGAACATAACTTTTACTGTAAAATTTCATCATGCAATGAAACAAACAACAAACAAACAAAAAAACACACTCTGTATATTGAAAATTAGGGCAATTGGAATTTATGCATCTTTTTTTTTAATATACATGTTGAAGCTGAATGCATCATAAATCTGTCTGTGGTCAAAAAAAAAAAAAAAAAGAAGAAGCTTTGCAAGGTCTTTGCAAAGTCCTGCATCTTGTGTTTTGGTCCCACTGACTTTATATTAACAATCTGACTTGGTTGATTTTCCTGTCAGTTATTAAACAAATTCACCCTGGAGAGACTCTCTACTTGAGCCTTCTCTAACAAGAGTGAAGTCCTAACCAATGAGAGCTTCTTCTGATTATGCCTGGAGACAAAAAATTAAATAAAATCTGATCGGGTATGGGCAGAGCCCTATAAAGAGAGAGTTGCGACACTCTTTGAACTCGCCGATACGCGGTCCGTGGTTCATGCAGCTCCCAATAGTTCCAAACAGCTCATCACTGTCAGTTTGAGCGGCTGCTGTCGCGACACAACACAAAAATCGACTTTTCTTACTTTACCTGTGTCTTTCAGTAATTACTGAGCAGTAACAAACTGATTACTTAACTGATTACTGATTATTTCCCTGACTGTGCATTTTATCAAAGCGTTTTTAGAAGCAGCTGATACATTTATCATTAAATTTTAGAAGGAAACAAGTCTGCAAACACATATTTGTTAGAAAAATAATGTATATGCAATACAATGATCAATATAGCCATGTCAGTGTTTTATAACGTTACACACGTTAAAAACAGATCAGAGTAACACCTGTTATAAAGCTGTTTCTGATGTTCTCTGCAGGATAATGCTCCACCTTGTCCTCCATGCAGCATCAGATCTGCTCCAGCTTACCTCAGATCATCTGGATGAATTCTTGATTTCTATAGAAGATATTAATTCAACCTTTATTTAAACGGGTTCGTCCCATTGAGCCACGAGGACTCATTTACAAGAGAGACTGAATATAATTGTTGTATTTGTCGTTTTTTTTATGGCAACCAAGTACCTGATAACTGAGTTGATTGTAGCCTGACAACTATTGTAAAACTGTAATTCATTGATTAAAATGTTCATTTAAATGAAACTGTTTCTAGTTAAAATCATAACAGATGACAAAATAAGTGTTAACTGTGCAAAAATAAATTTCCAAACAATTTATTATAAAATATGTAAAACAAGCTTTAATAAAGTACTTTTACTGCCATTTATACTGTTTATTAATGACATCATCTCAAGTCAGCAGGAGCACCATCATCATCATCACAACAACACAAAGTGAGAGCTGTAAATTTAATCTGCACAAACGTTTTCAATCAGGGCTCAAAATGTTTAACTGTCAAAGAAACGTGCAAGAAAATAAACTAATGTCACTCTACAGACACATTTAGAGAGAGGACAGTTCACAGAGACACAGTGAGGACGTGTGAGACTGAAGGAGGTTCAACCAGTTGTTCATGGACCAGAACCAGATGAGAAGAACAGCAGAACTTCCACTGACCAGTGATCTGACCAGTGTTCTGACCAGTGATCTGACCAGTGATCTGACCAGTGATCTGACCAGTGATCTGACCAGTGACCTGACCAGTGACCTGACCAGTGATCTGACCAGTGACCTGACCAGTGATCACACATGTTGTTCTAAATTAAACTTTGGTACGAACAGTGTTAAATAATTCATGTCCTATTTTTTATTGAACAATAATCTTCATTCTAACAGTGACGTTGTAATTTCAGAGACTGAGGAAGAAACAGAAATGAGGCGAGTGAGATGAGGGACAGATGAAAATGTGTCCTCAGAGGACGGGGACATGTCAGGATCTGATGATCCAGGATCAACAGGACCAGGAGGATGGATCAACAGGCAGTCAGGGAACAGAGATGAACAACCTGAGGAACAATTAGAACAAAAACATACATAAGCAGGACAGAAGAAACTCACAGACAAGAAAATTAACTCAGTCCTGAGAAGAAAAATGTTAATGGAAAATAAATTGACATATTTTTACAAAAGATCAGATGAAGACAACTGGCATGAAGAAGAACTTCCAGCTCCATCTCAATGTACCTGTGATAGTTTAATAAGTGTTTTGTTACTGTCCTACAGTTTATTGATGCTGATATATTCTTGTAATAATTCTTATTTCTTGTTCTGTCTTGAAAGAGTCTCATCTCAACTTGACCCATGATTACCAAACACTAAACTAATAATATAAAACTAATGTAAATGAACAGTCCTGCAGTAAATACCAACTTTGTGAAGGTTATGGTGTTAAAGTAATTTTATTCAAACATCTTGATTCAGCTGTTATTGATTAATAGAAGACAGAAAATGAGATCTTGTACCTTTGTGATACTTTGAATGCAACATTCAGTTCATGAAGTCATTCTCCTCTGGTTTACCTGGAAAACATGAAAACATTGACTCATCTCCACAATCACGTTTTTCTTTAATGATAATGTCACAATTTATGCTGCAGTCTTTGACAAATGATCTATAACTTTAACTAAATTATGTCAATCTTGTTGTCATGTTGTCATCATTCTTTGTTGAGATCAGGTCTCTCTTGTAAATGAGTCCTCGAGGCTCAATGGGATTTACTGTAGAAATAAAGGTTGAATGAATCGCTCAGAACAAAAAAGGCCAAATATTGAGGTACAGAACAGTCAGATAACGCTTCGCAATGGCAAAAAAAGTGTCGTATTTTCATCAACTTACCGGAGAAAACACGGAGAATGAACTACGTTCAATGCTGAACCCGCTGCTGTTTGGAACTATTTCCCGCTTCATGACCCACGTGACTTCCGCATTCCATTCTTTCTATGGGAGTCTATGGGAGTATCGCAACTCTCTCTTTACAGGGCTCTGGGTATGGGTATCTGTATTAAAAAAAATAATAATAATAATTGCTCAACTGCAAAGCAGTTACATAAACTTAGAGAAATCAGCCACCAACAAGGAAAACTTTATTGAAAATGTTAATTTTATACAAAATAAATAATGAATTACAAGTTTCAGTTTAACATTTCATATGTGGATTATTCTGAGGACGCTGAAGGTGTTGAAGGCCCTTATGGTCCCACCCTGGCTAAAACTACACTGAAATGCTTTGAAGAACGCCAACTTACTGCTTCTTTTAGCATTCAGATGCTGGGGATTGTAGAGACATTAGAACTTTTCAAACCACGTAGTTCTAATAACAGTGATGGTTGTCAAAATTGTTAGTATTACTTTGAAATGGTTTTGAGTACCTTTGTGTTAGCTTTACACTGGTAAATCACTGATTCACGTGACATTTATCATCAACAAAGATGGAGGTCTCAGTAGTTGGAGCTGTGCTTTGAGGATCTTTGTTTTGTTTTTTTTGTCTTCTATCGTGGAGTTATGGGGGGGGGATTGGAAATATCCTCCTTTCATACATCCGTGCATGTTGTGAGCATGATAACTTAAAAACGTAAGTAAAATACCAACTTCCATTTTGGTGTGTGACTGCATCTACGCATAAAAATGTCACTGCTGGGTTGCCATGTGAAAATCTTAGATGACCACCTTAGCATAAATATGTAAACTGGCCACCCGTATCATTTGTGGGGATTATGCTTTGTAAGTTTTATATTGCTTAAAGGTTTTCTCATGTGATTGAGGGTCATTGGAGTGGCCCAAGAATAATCTTTAGTGGCTAAGGCCAACATTGGTCACCCCTTGGCTCTGACATTGCACCTGGTGGTGGATAAAATTGATCCCTCCACTCGCCAGGATCCATCACTATGTTCTCGCCCGGACAAGCAAAAAAACGCAACAAAA